ATAATAGCTGCATTAAAAGCTGTTTTCGTTCATGTTGCTGAGGCAGGTGTACAGTAAGTAACCCATATCAGATTTTATAACCCTTATGTTTCATTAAAAACAGCGAGAGACACATTTTAAATTTGTATTTGTCTCAATTTCATAGTTTCTGCTGTTTTGTGGAGTGGTGTGGGAACAAGCACCTGCTCCTAAATGCAGCTAAGATCATAGAGATGGCTGTGGACTTCAGGAGGACCAGAACTAGATCCACTCTCATCCTAAGAGAGTAGGTAGAGGTGGTAGAGAGCTACAGATACATTGGAGTCCACCTTGACAACAGACTGGACTGGAAATGCTACACAGAGACTGTCTACCTGAAGGGACAGAGCTGATTCGACTACTGGACCTGAGAAAGCTCAGGTCCTTTAATGTGCAGCAAGATGCTGCAAAGCTATCACAGTCGTGGCCAGCTGCAATGTGCTGTGGCAGAAGTATTGCAGCCAGCGACACCAGCAAATCAAACAGACTGATCATGAAGGCTGGCTCTGTGCTGGGGAACACTCTGGAGCCGCTGGAGTTGGTTGTGGAGAAGAAGATGCTGCATAAAGTGTTGAACGTCATGGAGAACACCTCACATGCCTTCCCTGACCCACTGGTCAAACAGTGAAGCACTTTCAGTCAGATTCTTCAGCTCGGCTGTGACAAAGAACTTTACAAGGAGACCTTTGTGCAAACTGCCATCACACTGCACAGTAACTCGTCTTTGTGTTGGGGAGGGATCTCCTCCCCTGATATCATCATACATCCTGTATGCTCATCTACTTTTATTCTTGTCAACAGTCAAATTTGTTAATGTCCATGAAAAAAATGTATAGTTTTTCCAGATTATCTATCCACTCAACTGTACTATATGTACATATGTCAATACAATAGCCTTTTCTTTTCACTCTATTGTTTTTATATATATATTCTTTACTTGTGTTCTACTTACAATATATCTTAGCCATAATTGTTGTTGTTTCTCATCAGTGGCTGCTGTAACAATTAACTTCCCTTGTGAGGAATAAAGTACTTTTTCTGTCTGCGTGTCTGTCTGAACACTGACAAACAGCAGACAGTATAATTAAATCTAAAGCAAGATGCACATGATCTCAAATGCAACCGCAGTTTGAAATCCTACTGGAAAAACACTGGACTTGTCATCACTTTCAGAATTAAAGTAAAGACCATAAGTACTGTCAGCAAAGTGACTGAGCAGGGAAGTGAACTGCTCAAAGTGATGGCAGGTTAGATGCTAATAATTCTCTGTAATGTCTGTCTGTAGCTCTCTGGGATATAATTTCTTCTATTTCTGGAAAACACAGAAAGTCCCTCTCCAGAGCTGATAATGGCCTGGAGAACTGTGATGTTTATCCTTCAGCTTAACAATAAGAAAAAATGAAATGCCAGCCAAATGATTTATATCCACACACTGACCATGGCTTCTGTAAACCACCTGACAAATGGGGTTTTAGGGTCTATAATATAACAGCATGCACAGCAAATTCTGCATTGCATGTACAAGCAACAAACATATGTAGAAATCTACCACCAACGTAACAAGTTCCAAACCACAGCCTTAATGTCTGTTAAAAAGTCAGTACAAACACATTCTCATCAGACTGAAGCATTGATAAAAAACAAACAAAAAAAAGCAGGTCATGGCAAAATATCAAGGCTTAAACTTTAAACTCTGAATCTCTGTTCAGGATGTCTGCCTCTGAAAAGACAGGGGAATGTGGTTTTCTCTGTGTTTGTATGTGTGTGTGTGCGCAAGTATATGTGTGTAGGCGGCGATGTGGGTTCTGACACAAACCTGCAAGAAAGAGTGCAGAATTGCATCATCACCCGCTTCATTGGTGCACAGATGTGTTTGTGTCTGTCCTGTCGGTGTATAAGCTGCTATTCTGGTCCCCTGTACCCACAACAAGTGAGTGATGAGCAGACGGTGCAAATAAGAGACAACATTACACACTGTGGCCCTGAGTTTGTATTTGTGTGTACGTGTTTGAAACAGACAGAGAAAGACTTAAAAAAGTAAGCAAAGAAAATACGCTTGTCAAACAACTGGAACAAATGTGTATTAAACAAAAAAAAAAACAAAATGAAAATAAAATAATCATAAAGGAAAAAAGGTAAATGGAATCATGTTCTTTCATTCAGGTGCACACAGAAACTCAGTGCTTAGACAACAAATACTAATCTACATTGCTTCTAAGTTTTCATCTGACACCAGATGCAGATAATACACTACATGTTCACCAGATTGTGACTATTCAGCTGTACATACCGGTCTGTACTATGAGGTTTATCTTTTGGATGCAAAGGTGAAGCTTGAATTTAAAACTGTGGCTCTAGTCTTCTGGCCTATGGCTGTGAGCTGCCAGTGTCATAAGGTGTTCTATTACAGGGTCACTTAATCAGGAAACCTGATGCATTAACAACCCAGCTAACATACAATACAGAAGACACAGACAGCACGCCAGCCCTCAGAGGGGTGGTAATGCAATAACCTGTGTGTCAGAATGGAGAGACAAAAAGTGAGAAAGGAATATGATGAGAAACAAGAGCTAAAGGTAAGAAAAGAGAAGTGTGGTCTGCAGGTAGACTGGAGCAGAGGGGAGTATAGTGTGATAGCCAGGTGTAAGTTCAGCTTTAAAATAACATCCTCTCTCTCTCACACATACCCCACACACACAGAGAGAGCTCCCCTTCCTCTTGAGTTCTCCTCTGTCAGTCTGGGCCCCTGAGGCCCTCCAAGCATTCAGAGGCACTCTCCACAAAAAGCACACTCACTGGTTGCTACTGCTATTCTGGGAGCTTCCCCTCTGCA